TATATATATATATATATATATATATATATATATATATATATATATATATATATATATATATATATATATATATATATGAAAGCGTTATGGTTGCCATGCCTGGTTTCAATGTGAGTGGTGTTTAAAAAAAATAAGAATTTCTACAGGCATAAAAAGGTATAATGACTATATCCCAGACGTTTCGCCGGTTAAGGCTTCTTCTATATATGTGAATGATGATATCGCGTATTTACATGATGTTATAACCTATATAAAAATGTTTGACGTCATTTGGAAAGCGTAAACCTATGTCTGTAACCTGAGCTATTGGCTGCAGAGCAGGAATTTTTTCCTGTGCCTACATGCGGATATCAATTCGTTTCTTGAGTTCAAAGAGCTTAATTTGGGATAGAAAATTATAACAAACTTTTCATGCAGACATAATTTACAACGTTTTGTTTTGTTTTGTTTGAGTAGGCCTTACATTTCTTTAAAATTTTCCAGCGGATAGAGTATTGTATGTTGGATTGTTTCAACTGCCAAATATATTTACTCAGTTCGGTTGAATGTTTATGTTCCGGGTTTCTGAACGAGCTTGTGTGGTTATAGTATCTCACTTTAAATGGGCCCGCTGTGTGTCCAACGTAGGTTTCATTCTGCTGGTTGTCTTCTCTCGTTACTGTGGCCTGGTAGACAACGCTTTCGGTTAAACATTTGCCAGGGATGGGGCAGGATTCTTCCTGGTGGCAATTGCACTTCCTATCGGGATTTTTAGTAGCCTCGGGCTGCTTGCGATCGAGCACGGTTCTGTTGTGCGTCGTGATGATATTGTGCACGTTGGGCATACAGCTGTAGCTTATATATATATATATATATATATATATATAAACTTGGCTTTAAGATTTCTTCAGACATAAAAATACACAAAGTATATTTTCCAAACGTTTCGCCTTTTACGGCTGCTTCGTAAAAGGCGAAACGTTTGGAAAATATACTTTGTGTATTTTTATGTCTGAAGAAATCTTAAATATATATATATATATATATATATATATATATATATATATATATATATATATATATATATATATATATATATATATATATATATATATATATATATATATATATATATATATATATATATATATATATATATATATTTATATTGGACATATTTTAGTCACGTGAACGGTCTGGATCAGGGCTTTCTCGTTTCTCCACCCCTACTCACACAAAGCACAGGGAACAACGTTGCCAAAAGGATTTAAATTGTATTTTATCTTACCATGCAAATGCATTTTATCTTACGATTTGCATAATTACCTGCACATGTTAGACACCAAAGCTGGATTGGCATTATGTTCCACACATTCTGCTGCCCCTGACATCTTTTGTTTAATTGCTTCTACTTTAATCTTTCCTACAGTCTTTATTTTAGCTTCAGCTTTAGCAAAACCGGAACAAACCATGCCAACGCCTGATCCTACAATCGCTCCTTTCAGCGCCCGTTTTGCGACATCTAGAGGGCTTCTACTCTCCCCGTCAACTATATATGAATCTACATCGCTTGATATTGACGATAGTGCTCCGTTAACTCCTCCAGTTGCAGCTCCGCTTCCCACGAGTTCACCGGCTCCTGCTTCGGCAATGGACGTTACAGTACTCTCTATTCCAATAATTGCCGAGGTAATACCTGCGCATGCACCACCAGCCACAGCACCAAGTCCTGCGCCAACTGCAAAACTTTTAGCGTAACTTTTGCATTTTACACCGTTTTGAATCGAATCATAACTGGCTACTCTGAATGCTCCTTGAATAGCACCTCCAATCAATGCACCTGATGCTATATTACAACCAATAAAAGCAGGAAACCCCAATCCGGCAGTGCATACAGTTATTGCAACCCCACCTGCTACCATTACAAGGCTAAACGTCAAGAGACCGATCCTCTTCCATTTTTCGGTACTTCCGTGAGCTTCGGGTGTAAATATAGCTTTCCAACGTGATTTTGATAACCAACCGCCACTGTAATCTGTCAAATCATGGTACACTGCTCTCTTCTTGCGATCTCTTAAAACGCCGTGAGCCATAATGATCTCTCGACAGATTTGACTATCTGCTAACTCTGGATTACGATCAGGATGAAATATAAGCATCTGTCGTCGGTATGCTTTTGTAATAGCTTCATCCTGCTCTTCTATTCTCATTTTTCGAACTTCTTTCATATCAAGCTTCAAAATACCATAAAGGTCTCTTCCATATTCCCAGGTTGTTTCTTCCTCCATGTTTTTTCTTCTAACAGCAATTTGTCGTTCGTTAGGATATTCCGATAATGTTTTTTCCTTGACTATTCTGCTTTCGTTTTCGTCACCTTTAACTGATATCAGCTTGTCTGCTGTCCATTTCTGTACAGGAAGAACAATCGTTCTTTTTCCTTTCTTCGGTTCTTTTTGCTGCATTCTTAATTCGTATTTGAATGAATCTCTATCTCTATAGAAGTATTGCTTTCCAGGCTCAATACTTTCTTTCTTCAAATCCAACCAACATATGGGATCCATTTGGGCGTATATAAAAAGAAACACGGTTGCATTTTTTGTTTCGTTTCTGACAAGAATGGCTTTATATTCAGGATCTGGCACACTTGCACTCGCCATGGTCGGAGTTACACCTAAGTAAAATAAGAATTATAATAATAATTATATATAATGTTTGATAGTATCAAATGTTCAGCGTGGTGCATGGCTATTTACAACAAAGGAAAAATCGGCGGGTTTGTAAGAATATAATAACAATAATCCCCGAACCGACGGCGCGAAACACCGTGTGAGGAGGATAATTCCTCCTGGCTATTTACACCCGTGGAAACGAAAGCATTAGCGAAGTCTAAAGTTCAACAATGATCGCGGGCATGGGTCACCAACGATGGGTGGTCATCCTCACTGATCTCAACATATGTGGCGAACTGGCATGAATAGCAAACACTGATTGGTCCAATTTAAAGTTTGCATTATAACGACAGCATGACGATAGCGAAATGGCAAACATTTCTTGATTTGATGATTGATAAATTTCTTGCAAAAATATTTCAATTTTGCAAGATTTTAGCAGTAATATATATAGGGGCCGTTCGACTCGGATTTTTGCGGTGGTGGAAGTGGCGGAGTGTGGTGGAGGAGTGAGGAGGAGGAGTGAGGAGGAGTAATGACGTCACTCATTAACATACGTCATAATTGGAGTGTGGTGGTGGAGGAGGAGTGAGGAGGAATGCGGGTGCGTAATGACGTCACTCATTAACATACGTCATAATTATATGCAATGACGTCACGCGGGCGAGCTTAAACACGATCGGGGGAAACTTGCTGACTACGCATTTTTAGCATCCCCCACGTGTATGATATAATAGTTAGGGCTATATACAAGAGAATATGTTGTTGTCTGGAGTTTTATAAGTACAGCTCTAGCATTTTGCTGTTATTGTCAAGTGATTCCTTTAATTTAGCTCCTAGTAGAGTAAAAAATCTGATACTATATGAAATAGCATTAGTGTTATATATCTAAAACTTATATATTCGGGGTATACAGCTATATGTTTTGTTGTTAAGTAATATATAAATATTATCAAGCGTCAAAACGCTGAGAAATAGCATGCGGTAAGAGTTATTATGTATCTACAATTAAACTAATATTTAAATCCCGGTCGGCCCGGCATATGAGGTCTATATACGAGAGAATATGTTGCTGTCTAGGGTTATATAAACACATGGAAATTAGATGTTATGATATATAATTGTCAAGCGATTTCTATATTTTATTGGTAGTTTTTAAAGTACTAAAACTCGGATAAGGTTAATAAATTTAAGCTATATTAAAGCACACCGGTTGCTATGTGTTGTTAGGGTGACACTAATTAAGGGATTAACTTTTGTCAGAGATTTGCATTTTTCTACTGTGTGGATAAATACGGGTGGATTAGGATATTCATTGCTCGCGCGTCGCGGGTCATCCTTGCGGGAAGAGAGAAAGCGATTTAGACAAGACAGGAGCGCTTTGCAGCCAAAAGTTGAAAGACTTTGTGTGTAATGGTTGTCAAGTCGGTCATCCTAGTCAAAGACAACATGACTGCCTCATGATGAACGAAAACGAACGAGGGCAAACAAGGAATCTATTCGTCACAAAAATCAAGACATATTTTAAACTAAACAGTTCCTAATCCCGAGTTGTCAACGTCGTTGATAAGGTCAATATTTACATGTTGTTCAACGTTATTTTAGCAAATATTCTACATACATATATACTGTTAAGATGACCGAGTCAGATCATAAGTAAGCTTATTAAGAGTATAAGTTAGAATTGGAACAGTTGTAATATATTTTGCAATAAAAACATGTAATCGTTATATACGTTGTTATGTGTTGCTAAGTCATCAGCGACGCTTGCGTGCATGCATATATTAACGTACAACATATTTGTACACTAATCAGGCGGGCGGATCGCGCGGGCGAAAAGAGCGGGCTTTGCCGGCAAAAAATACACAATATTTCAGTTTTTAAATACATTTATTTCTTCAAAACGTTTTACAAAATTTAGTACGGTCTACTTCTAAGAGCATAACGTCTAGGAGCTTTTGTTATTTTTAAAGAGTTTTCATATTCTTGTCTATCTTCTGGGGATAACCTTGCAACATCTTCATTGTTCATTGGAATATATTTCGGCCTCTCGCGAAGTAATCTTTGTTCGTAACCTTCTCTTTGTTCAGGGGTCATCATTGCCAAATCTTGGGGCC